TATATACATACATATACATATGTATATGTATATAATGCATTTCTTTGTTGTGTGCTCAAGAATAAGCATCTTACGTGAGAGATTTCACGCAGAAATGTAGATCGAAATCTTTTTTAAGATACCGTTGTTTTATGCAAAATAAAGAAGCGCTGTGCAGTCATGATGTGATAGAAATGCAAATATTGATGACAGTATAAATAAGAAATCAAAGTCATCGAATTTTTTTCTTTTTTAGACAAAATTAAAATATTTGTGTTTGCTCGTATTTTTTCACTTTCTAATCTGTAACTGATGATTGCGACAAGGTTAATACAACTACGCGTGCAAACTTTTTTTTGATTAATTGTGAATTATAAATGAGAGTTATATAAATGATTCCATGAATGTTTCCTAACAATTTACATAATTTATTACGGACAAAATCGAATAAAATAGGAAATCTGTTCTACACGTCTTGTTTTTATTTCATGTAATTTGCATTTTGACTTGATTACTACATCTTAATTCCAAGATCATTCGAAAAGCGTGACAATGAATAGACTTGGAAGCGTGTCATCGTCGCGATATAAATTTTAAAAGATGCAGAGAGAAAGGGAGAAAGAGAGATTATGTTTATTGCAAAATATTTTGCGCATATCTCGATTGCCAAAGCGCATTAAGCGCGTGCATCTTGTCACGTAAAGATAAATTAATTGAGAAATAAGTTAACTATAGTTAATATTTACGAGGCACTTGTTTTCGACGATAAGATCGATAAGGCAAAAATCAATCATTCCATCGGCAAGATGGGTTCGTTATTATTTCGAAAAGTGATTTATATTAACACTTGGATTTGATAAACAATATGAGATATTATCATTCTCATTATTCACTTTGTCTTTCATGAATAATAATTGTAGGCAAAATTATACGCGATTGTTTAGCGTGTAAGAAGATTTAGCTTACTTGATAAATTGTTCCGGATCGTTCCCACTTTTTTTCATCAGAAACACTAGATTCCATCTGCAAAAAGAAGATTAATAAACTGTTAATCGTTAATCGTTATTATCATTTCCATAATTACGTATATACGTAATTTTCAAAGCTGATCTAAGTTTCACATACATAAATACATCAGACTCGGTTTTTATCGTCGTTTTTTTTTTTTTTTTTATTGATTGTAAAACACGAGTCATAAGAATAAAGATACAAATTGTCGGTAATCTTAAACATAATTAAACGATTTCTTATACAACTGAAAGAGTGTACATAAACGCCGCTCATATTGGTAATTCTATATTACAGTTTACTGGAATATTTAATGCTAAAAGTGAAGATCAAAAGGCTGCTAAAATTGATAAATTCAAGTCGTTATCGCGGAATATGATTAATGATGTTCAGAGATAGCACAGAGCTTTATATTCAACGGGAAGAAAAGACGAAGAAAAAATCCTGATAAACGTAACTCTAATAAGAGTTCCTCCTTTCCTTAACGAATATGATGCTGCATAATAAAAAGAAATCAAAATAAAGCAAAAACTCTTTTTGACACATTCTCAAAAAAGAAAAATATTATAAAATACTTTTTTCAATTATGAGTTTTAGAGCTAAGAAAAGAAACCTTAGAAATATAGTTAGTCTTGTTAAAATGTATATTAAAAAATGCACTGAAATACGATGATAATTTTAAATATCAGACCATCTTTAACAGACAATTTTTAAAATTTAAAATTTAGAGGAAGGTTTATTTTAGATTAAAAATGCACGAATATACTTCAACGAATATAATTCTTCAACGAATATAAACTTTTACGAATATAATTCAAAAATTTGAATTTGTATTCCGAAAATATGTACGTACCTTGACCTCCATGCACAATGATACGTTTCCACCTGTATTGTTAATGCTGGTTTGCCCACCGACAATATTAATATGCATTTCGTTCACATTATTAATATCTTTCTGTTCATTCGTTTTGTTAACGTCCGTTGGTCCATTCGCATTATCAACGTCCGTTTGTTCGTTTACATTTTTGACGTCCGTTTGTCCATTTACATTTTTCACGTCCGTTTGTTCATTTACATTTGTCACGTCCGTCTGTCTATTTACGTTACTGTCCGTTTGTCCATCCGTGTTATTAACGTCCGCTGTGTTCGCCATGGTATTCCCTTTTCTTCAGTATCTTTAGTATTTTCCAATAATTAAACAAATAATAATATAACAACGGTAATCTCTCTAACGCAATGCACAAAAATGCGTGATTTGCAATTTTTTTTTTAAAAGAGAATCAATCAATCAGTCTTTTTTATTTCCTTTGACAAGTGACCACCTCTTCTCGCTCTCATTCACGACTCAATCCTTTATATGTCTTTACAATACTCGACGGTGTTTATATATATTCGATTGATGAGCTCGATATCGTATCGCAAAGTACTTTAAATCTTTATCATCATTCATCGACCGCTTGCATGCCGGGCTATTTAAAAGAGACTTTCGATCACCGAATAGATGCGTTTCAACGACTCGATGCTAATTTACTGCCGTCCCGTTCGGATGCGCCGCGAGTTTTAGATAGACGAGTCTGGTCTCCTTTCTTCTGCCTTCGGTTTCTTCTTTGTTCAGATATAATATCGTCGTATGTACAATGCAATAAATACGCGATCCGCGCCGAGCTGTTTATCCCTCCCGACTGTCTGCTCGTATTATTGCCCCGTTCGATAGCGTTCCGCGGAAAATCGCGGTTCGAGATTGCGCCTTCGATCTTTACATAACAATTACAGATACGTGTCTAATCTAACGATTTTTTATTGTTTTGCCATTCAAGCAAAACGTCGTCGTCGTCGTCTCGGAGAGATATCCACCGGATCGCTCTGGAAAATTCTTAGAAATTATCTTAGAAATAATTGCCGTTTTCCGAGCCGGTCTCGGATATCTTCAGATCTGAGAGAGAGTAAACGTGCCCACTGTTATTCCGTCAAAGTTCGACATTCGTCTTCGTCGCAATATAGATTTTCGAGATTTTCGTAAATGCGTCGGCTCGAAATGTGTGTCCCTTCAAGTCGCACGATGAGAGGCCTGAGTATGCCTTTTCGCGTGAACGTCTCTCGTCCGTCGCGTTGCGACATTCGCGAGCCTTCTTCCGATTAGCGCGAGATCGATGAGCTTCCCGGTGTGCAACCCGTGGTTGGTGCGACCAGCGACTAACTGGGAACTCGTTATTGACTGAGGACGACGCACGGATTTTATCTGCTGCACCCGGCCACGTTTCTTCACTCCGCTTCGCGTCGCGTGATGATCCGCGCCGTATCGGCGATGCTCAGGCGAGCGAATGTCAAATAGACGTCTCTTCGTAACTGATAATGAGGCGATTACGTAAGAAGACAATCGAAAAAAATCGCTGATAGTTGGCATGTTCGCAAAATCGGCGTAATAACGCCGATTTAATCGGCACAAAGTTTAATTAACAATAATGATGACATCAATGGTAATGAGCATAATTTGTCATAACGTCACGAGAGACTTCTGCCTGAGGGAGAGACGGAGGAACGGAAAATATGATGCAGTTAATCAAATGAAAGAGAGCAAAGAAAAAGCACGCGCGGTTGACTAATAATCTCGTCGTATCTGTTATTTAAAACTTATTTCGAAATTTTATATTTCGTTTTGCGTAAATTTATAAATATCGTTATCTTTATTTGTTTCAACTCGACGATTGATTATTTTAAGAAATTGTATACAATTTTATATTACTAATTTTACATTTTATAGTAATAAATATATACATGCTGGATAAATATGATGAGCAGTATAATTGATTTACAGGAAGACGTCATTTGAATCTGATTAAAATAAAAATATCTTTTTCTTTTTGTTTAAATTAGTTAATAATAGACGGTCGGGAATATCAGACTGGTTAATTAAAATTACACCTTTGTGTCAGATCCATGTTTATTCTGTAGCAAAAAAAATTTGTTGTACGTCATAGGGTCGTACACGTGGATACTTAATCTGAAACGTCTGTTTGTTTCGCCGTCGGATTCAGTTCGAAGTGAAAGGCTAATTAGTAATCGACGTGAGACTTCAAAGTGACTTCACGCTTCGATTAATTCCTCACTGCGCTACAAATTGTTGTAACTCTAAATTTTTTCCGGTCTTATTTTTCCTCCGGTCGTCTTGATTGGCTTGCGCAACTTCCTCGAACGAGATAAACATATATTGTGACGTAATTTTTATCACGATTCCCCATTAATTTATCGCCGATTCTTAGGATGGGCACCCATTAAGAAACATTTTATAGCAATTAAATTGTGTATCCGTAAATTATATATCGTGATCAATGCCATCTTACAACATGGACGATTTAAATGAAGTCCTTGGCCCCTCTCTCTCTCCCATGTTCGTCTTTAAATAAAAATTACGGTGCCCATAATATATATATATATATATATATATATATATATATATGATTAAATATTTAATTATAAATATATAAGAATATAACCTATTATCAAATATAATCAAAATGAACAAATAAACACATAAAAATAATAATTATGTTTTTTAAAGTATTACATAATGTATTCTACGATTTGGAATTAAAAATCATCTCGCTTCGTGCGTCACAATTAGGAGACACATCTTAATACCGCTAATATTATGACAAAGAAGCGCTGCGGAGGATGTACATAGTTCACGATCGAAGCGTTCGTTAATCCGACGAGGTCCCCCGCATCGGTATCGGAGATCGGCGATCTGGTGACACGTGCTTATGAATTGAAAGAGATTAAGGATGAGTCGATAAAGCCGACCGGTAAGACCGTATGTAATACGGTATGATGAGAGCGTTGTCATGGAACTCTTAGCGCTTACGTAAGAAGATCAGGTCGTCACTGTGCACGATATCGCGTGCACGTCACGATGCGTCGATCTTTCCGAGGCCGATCGGCAATACGTCTTCACCATTCGCCTCCGAGAGACGGAATTTAATTCCTCAGCGAGACGGAAAATCGGCGCGGCATACTCCAACTGCGTCGAACTCCGTAATTGCCGCGTTGCAATTGAATTGCATTAGAAGTGCTACGAAAGCGTTGATAATTATACCGCCATTATCACTTTAATTGTGAGATTATTAATCATACGATAATCACAACAAGCGGTGCGGAAAAGATCGATGTATGATGTCAATGAGCGTGATGTTTGCAGAGCTTGCTGCAGAGATGCTTATATATTTGACATCTTTTCGAGCCCTGGTCGTCAAACATACGGCTGTAGAAGTAAAGTTTATCATGGCGCTTTACAACTCGCAGATTTGGGAGAGAAACTGGAATTAAGGCGCCAAGGCTGGTCGTTTAAACACAGATTCAGATTGTTAAATGTTGATTTTATAGATCTCTTTTTTTGTAGATCATTACAAATAGAAACATTATTTTATATTTTTTTATATTTTTATATGTAAATTTACAATTTCAACTTTGATAATAAATATTGAATGTAAATTCATTCAAGTTTCAACGCGACCTTTCGGTGCAGTTGAAATGCATTTGATCGTTGTAAAAGGCAGAAGGCGGATTTGTGAAAGGTTCGCTGACTTACCTGAATGAAACTGCATTCCTCTTCGGGAGAAGACATTTTTCCAGATGCTAATGCGTCCATGCAGTAAAAATGAAAACACTATGTGTATTAGCACTAATTTTAATAAATTAGAAATGTTCAGCTTAACTTAAATGCGTATAATTGTTTCTTATAATAATGCGTAATTGTTTCTTAACATTCCATTACCGACTTCTCGTTCTTTGCTTCCTCAAGATCTACTACTACTAGATAAACACGTTTAATTATCGATAAAGAATAGACGGTGATACGTTCACCATGTCGATAAGAGATACCGTTTTTTACAAAAAATAAAAATATCGTTCACGTTAAAGCACCACAAGCAAAAATTAAATGTATCTTAGAACGCTGTTGATCCGCTGTTGTTATCGGTACTATACAATCGACACTAATTGTAGCTATTAATGAAAATATACAGTGGCTTCAAAGTCATCTGAATTGTCTCATGATTTCTCTGATGAAAGCGCGCACCAAAACTGACTTGTTTAACCACTTGACGTTGCTATATGAGCGCCTCGAGTGAGTCTCGTGTTTATTAGATTTGGAATGTATTCGGAATCTTACAATGATATTGAGTGTGCGATAGATATAGATAATAGTTCATTGAATGCAATTAAATCGCTTTATACAGTGTTTCGACAAAAGTATTAAAAAAAAATGTGTTTTGGCTGCGTGTAAAACTCTATTTACTTTGTAAAACTTAATGATTTTGAAAATTTTGTATAAAATACGTTATTCTTCAATACAAATATAGTGCAACATTTAGCGTTAGTCATTATTTTGCGATTAAAAAAATAGTTTTAAGAATGATAAGCTTCATATTATCACATAATTATGACTGTTAATAATAATTTAATTGACCATGAACAAGTATAAAAGCAGTATATATGGATGGCAAGGGAGTTAGTTTCTTTTTAAATACTGAAACGTTTTTTAAATAAACGTTTAAGACA